ATGGGGACTGGGCCAGCAGGAGAGTGTACCCTGAAAAGAGCAGCCCAGAGAGTTAGCAGCAAGGATGGCGACTGAGAAGATCTTGGCAGTGTGTTGTAGGATCCCTGGGCTGGAACCCAGCATAGAGGGTGGGCCTGGGTTCCCCTACCTGCCATTGGGGAAATGGCACTTGCAGGGCAAAGATCTGGAAGACAGCCTGGTCCCAGGGGGAGTGATAGAGGCTTCAAAGGCCTATAGTCTATGAAGAACTTGGGAATGCTGAATGACCTGGTCATAGGGCCGAGGCTCAGAGGACACTGTTTTTTGGAGCCAGAGAAGGGCTGCAGGCTGACAGTGGGTATGTCTAGACTATATGGCTCCGCCGACGGAGCCACGTAGATGAGTTTACTAGACATAGGAAAATGAAGCGGCGATTTAAATAATCGCCGCTTCATTTACATCAAAATGGCCGCCGCACTGTGCCGATCAGCTGTTTGGCGGCACAGCGGGGCAGTCTAGACACGCTGCGGTCGACAAGGGAAACCTTTGTTGACCGCTCTGGTATGCCTCGTGAAATGAGGTTTACTGGAGCAGTCAACAAAGGCTTCTCTTGTCGACCGCAGCGCGTCCAGACTGCCCCGCTGTGCTGCCAAACAGCTGATCGGCACAGCACGGCGGCCATTTTGATGTAAATGAAGCGGCAATTATTTAAATCGCTGCTTCATTGTCCTATGTCTAGTAAACTCATCTACATGGCTCCTGTCGACAGAGCCACGTAGTCTAGACATACCCAGAGAGACCACATGTAACCATGGGAAGGAGCATTGATGTCACAGAGCTAATCTCTGGAGGACCAGGAGGGGGTGCCATTCACACAGAGAGTGGAACAACCCGTCACACAGACATACTGATATAACTGAATTACATTTGTGTGTAAGAATCGAGCCCATTTAATTCAATAGGTCTGAACAGATATAAATGAGGGCAGACTCCCATCCCCAGAACCCTACTTCTCAGAGAGAGAAATAAATTAAAGAGATGAAGAAATCCTATTCCAACCACACATCTTCTA